AAGGCACTTTATATTTACATAATATAAAAGAACTTAAGCTTTGTTCAAACTGTAATGCTTTTACTATTATAAAAACAAATGTCTTAAAAACCCCAATAGAAAAAATAAAAACTAAATGGTTTAACATTTAAATATTTATAGTCTGTTGCATAAGAGAACGTTACTGATTATAAATTAAATCTAGTTGTCCGCTATTTATGTCCTACCCCATTGAACCACTACAGCAAACCTTTGCTATGGTTGTTGCCCATTATCATTCAATGTTTACATGATGTACAGAACGTTAACATTTTTGTTTTTATTCTGATTTTTTACGTGTATAATTTTTTTTCACCTAATTTTAAAAAATTAATAGTAATATTAATTTATATAATATTATATACAATTAAAATTGATGGAGTATATTGATCAATTGCAGGAAAATATATCGCACAATAATAGTAAATAAATTTAGATTTTGGCGAGGGAATTTAACGAGTATTCATTGTTAATTTGATATTCGCGAAACAGTAGGATTCTCTCGTGGAACAGACTAAAGGTATAATAAGATTGTGTGTTATAATAAATTCAGTCATCTATCTATGTTATTCACATAAAAATAAAATAATTATATAGATAGGTGCATATCTGGTAACTTATACATTTTGTTCAGAAACATAATGAAATTATTAGTCAATTGGAGCATTTTTATTTTCAGAGATTTTACCAGCTTTAAAAAAAAAAAAATGTAAGAAGTCAAAAGGATTGGTTGAAAATGAAAAATCATTGGGTGAGATACAGTCTGAAATTCCATTTTTTATAAAACCATCTGAGAAAATTGCGACAATCGATTCATCAAAATGGCCTTTATTATTGAAGGTAATGTATTAATATATTGTATGATAGTTTTATTTAATTTAATGATTAGTTAAAATAAAATGTATAAGAGGTGGATCAAAGGCTGTAAAAGTAATTTTTCTAATAAATATGGTGGATGGTGTTAAAGATGAAAATCACAAATAGACGGTTTGACACAATTGACAAGACTTCTGGGTGTGTATAGATATAGATCAAGTCAAGTGGAGATTTAAGACCAAGGTGGCTTTTTCTAAATAAGTGGAGAAAAAGGCAAGAGAGAAGAAAAAAAATCAATGTATAATGTATGTTATAAACTTAATGTATGTATAATAGTATAATAATCTAACTTCGCTATTAAAAATGAAATAAAATATGTAATATGTAGGTATGTAATATCTAATTAATTTTTTGTTAAAAAATCTATTTTGGGTCGATTGAATTTTCCCTTCTTCGGTCGAATTCATAATCATATCTTCGTAGGATTCTGCTTTTCCATATTTCCCTATTTTCCCTATTTGAGAAAAATAACAATTTTTACAGAGAATGTAAACACAGATAACACACCGAACTATTCATACACTACCTATCGTAAAATACTAAACCTCTTTATTGACATTAAAGACTGCTTGGTTTTGTGAAAAGAATTTATTTTATCTCCGCGATAAAATCAAAATACCAGTTAGGTTAAGTAATGATTTATATCGCATTTATAGAACATTTGTTCATTATATGTTTTTTTTTTTTTTGTTTTTGTTTACGGCCTCATAGACCACTCATCCAAACATAATTGCCTCCATTCTTCATGATTTTGTGCTAGTATATGCCAATGTTCCTCCGCTTAGAAAACTGTTACATCTTTTTTGACACAGTCCTCCCATCGCATTCTGGGTCTTCCTAGTGGTCTTTTCCCTCTTGGATTCTCTTGTAAGACCGTCTTTGTCATAGCATCAGGTTTCCTCCGAACATGACCTGCCCNTCCGCTTAGAAAACTGTTACATCTTTTTTGACACAGTCCTCCCATCGCATTCTGGGTCTTCCTAGTGGTCTTTTCCCTCTTGGATTCTCTTGTAAGACCGTCTTTGTCATAGCATCAGGTTTCCTCCGAACATGACCTGCCCATTCCAACCTTTTTCTTTTTATCTCCTTTACTATATCCGGTCTGTTTTATAAGTCGTATAATTCCTCATTGTGTCTTTTACGCCGTTCACCTGGTAAATGAACCTTCGTTCATTATATGTACATATTTTATTTATTTTTATCTAATGACCCTATTAACCGGTGTGCGAGTCGAATAGATAAATTTTTTGCTGTGCTGTATTATATGTATAATCGGGACCAGCCGTTTTCATTACACCACATAATTTTGATAACACATTTCCATCATATAGCAAACCAACTATTTCATTGATTGATGATCGGATGCATCAAGAGGCAATCCGAATTGCAATCAGATTACTCAAATTTCACGAGGAACATCAAAATCTATTGGGTTGATCATCTGTTTGATAATATAGTTTGTTGAGGAACACATGAAATGTGTAATTCACAATATAGAATTTTTTAATATAACATATAAAATCCACATAATATCAGAAAAACAAAAAAGCAATAATTTTAAAACTTAGTCAGTCCACATAATTCTAACTTAACCATCATTCTTAAATCGGCAATATGCATGTTAAAAAAAAAAAAAATTGAAAAATTAGATATGTTTCACATAATTTTTTACTCAAATGATTTTGGTCAAAATTTGATATTCAAATTAATTTATAAAAAGAAAATGCTACATTAAACTCAAGTATTTCCACAAAGTACCTAACAAATATAAATTCCGTACAAAACTTGCAAAATTTAAATGTCTATAAATAGCTCAAAATGGCTCGATTTTTTTTTGAAAATTTTACCACGTCTAGAAAAAAGCAAATATACATTTTTTGTCTACTAGATTAGATACGAATATTTTTAATTGAATTTTTTATTAAAAGTTTAAAAATGGCTCAAAGTTTTCGAAAATTTTATCATATTTAGAAAATTCCAATATAAGTTTTCTGTCCAAATTTCAAGTCTTTAGGAATATTTTAAACTGATTTACAATAAATAATAATAAAATCATTAAATATATCAATAAATTTCTCATTTTTCTTAAGTTTAATGTTAGAGTTTTTTTTAACCACTTGGAAAATCAAAAAAATGTCTTTCCAAAAGTACTATCTGGACAATATTTACTTTCAGGAATTGTGCTGCCCATATATATCGGAGCAAGATTTCCGATAGAATTTTTGTACATAATATAAAAAAAAAATTTTTTGTAAAACCAATACATACTTCACTAAATTGATCTATAAATTCTTGAACTCTATAAGAGTTTTCTTATTCCTTTTGAACAATCAGGTTTTAATGACTATATTAAACACTAATTATTTATATTAATTTATCTTTAATAAAGTAAACATTTTTATCATGTTGAAATAAAAAGTTATATTCAAAAATCCAAAAGTATCTAAGTAGTGTCAGACATTGGAATAATTATAGTGATATATTATAATTTATGGATATTTTACACAATAGTCTTGCACAGTTTGTAATTGTCATATTTTTATGATGTTACTTTTATTACATACCTAAATTACTTGCTATTTTTTTTCCAAAAAATCTAATGTTAGTATTAAATTGATTACCTATAATTTACCTATAAATCTATTAAGCATTTAGTATTTTTAAGTTGATATCCCCTACATTAGTGGTGCTCAACCTCGAGGTCATGAAATTTTAACGGGGAGCCTTCAATATTTTTACACCAAATGAAAGTATCAATCGTAATATGTCATATTATTATCTTAATATTTCGATAGTAAGTTCTTTTGAATCACTTAATATATGGGCTATTTTTAAATTTAATCAGAAATTATCACTTTTTTTTCTTCAATTTATTTATACAAAACAGCATTGTCAACACTAGTAATAATAAAAAACAAATATTGCTTCAGATTTAAGAATAGCAGTCTCAAATATTAAATCCAATTTAAATTCAATCATGTTTACAATTCAAGCAAAAGAATCTATTAAATCCTGCAATTTTATGATTTAAAATTATTAAAATGTTGATTATAATTATAACAATTCAGGAAAAAAATTTGTATGTTTTTAAATAAAAAATTTGAATAAATTAAATTAAATAAATATTAAAATTGCTTTAAATTTACTGTTTAATTAATATGACTATAATTATTGTACGCTTAAGTTATGTTAGTAGGATGGGGGGAGGGGTGCCTCACTAAAATAAATTAATTTGAGGATGGAAAAAGATTGCACACCACTGCCCTAGTTCACAATTGATAAACATTATTTAAAGTATGTATTTTAATAGCATATAATTATTAATTTTAACATCAACATATAAATTGTATTTAAATTTAATTGTTATATACTAAATGTATGATTTATAATATTTACAATTTAGTGAATTCATAATTTTATTTTTAAACTAGATATGTTTAAACACTATCGTTTCAGTGGCCTAACTAAAACTTTTAATGCCCTTGGCAAAATAACTAAATGATGGCCAATACACAATTTAAGTTGGAGAGAGTTTTACATAGATCGGAGCAAAAATATAAGTTATCAATTATTTGATTTTATGACTTGGGGCACCTAGATGTCATGGGCTTGTAGTGTGTTACCCATTATGATGCCCTGTCAGTATGCTACTGTGTCTATTCAATAATATAAACAATTATATATGTATAAACAATTTGAATGTATGCATACAAGTTTTTAAATAAGTGACACCTTATCAATACACATTGGTTTTAATACTGGGGTCAACTTTTACATGGCATGAGTCAAATTGTAGGGGTAGTATAGGTTTAGAAGAGGGGTAATATTATGAACATAAGTACATTTGGATTAAAGAATTAAGAAAAAGTTCAATTATAATTTTTTTCTTTTAGAATTTTGATTCTTTAAATGTGCGGACAAATCATTATACGCCATTGCCATTTGGATCAAATCCACTACAACGAGACATTAAAGATTATGTTCGATCAGGATATATTAACTTGGACAAACCATCAAATCCCAGTTCCCACGAGGTGGTTGCTTGGATTAAACGAATATTGAAGGTTGAAAAAACTGGCCATTCTGGAACACTGGATCCAAAAACTTCAGGTAGGTATTATTTGTTTATGTTTAGTTTTTTTCTCAGAATTTTTTTTGTAGAATATTTCAGAAACAAGCTGCTCTACCGATTTAAATTTGTGTTCTTGTTTTGTCACTTATTTTTGAGGGTGAAACCACAATCTTTTTTCGTTTTTCAAATGAAAACCTTTATTAGAAATTCAATACATAGATGGAGTATTAGTTGAAATTAATTTTGGTCTTGACATTTTTGATATTATTTAACCAATTAATGAGATATTCTACTTTTGTAAGTTTGAGGGAGAATAGTGATATATTATTGAAAATTTTAACACCAAAATTATTTTAACTAATCACTCCATTTATAAAAATGGAATTTTCAATTTAGATAGCTATTTGTAAATCAAAGTGGGTAGTGGTTTCACCCCTAAATATACATTGGATTTTATTTTAAAAAATTGTTTTAAATATATTTTTTGAATAAAAATTTACAATTTACATTTTTAAAGATAAAAACATTATTGATGCATAAGCATATTGATTGATTGAAGTATTATTAAAATATATTATTCTGGTATAAAATTATTATACCAGAATAAACCTTCATAAATCAAATATATATGTATTATTTTTGAAAATAGTTAATATTATTACATTCTCATTTAACAATTGTTTTGTTTCTTTCAAGACTAAACTACCAAATTATTGTTATATATGTTAATAATATTTATTTATTTATTTTTCACACTTGATATATTATTGAAACTGTGGGTGGTTAGTTTTAGATTATGATTGTACTATTGTTAAAACTCCAATAATTAATCATACTCATACAAAGCTCATGTTTTGCTCTCCAGTTTTAAGTCTAGTCAAGTAAAACTGTACTATTAAAATACAAACAACAATTGAACTTTTTAAAGACAAAATCATTTCTTATCATTTCAGCTCTATATTTGTCATTTTGCATACTTGTTGTGATTGTAGTAGATTATTTTCTGTTTAACTAAATCCACAATTAATCTACTATTTTTCCTAATTGAATAGACTAATATAAGTCTTGAGTACTCGTTTAAATTCTCACGAAGAACTTAAAATGTTCAATGGCTTAATTGAGTTTTATTGTACAATATTCTTTTAGTTGTTTTAAACAGGACATATATTCTTTTTGCTTATATTTTTCGAATTATCTATACAGCTTCTACCCATAATTGATTTTCTATCAGTATCAGTATCAGTTTCTCTCATTGTGTTATTTTTATGAATACAATATAATAAAAACTATTGGAGTTTTATGTATGATTAAATACTTTGAAAATATTTTATTGACAAATGTGTATAGGTGTACTTGTAGTGTGCATTGAAAGAGCTACAAGACTAGTGAAGTCTCAGCAATCCAGCGGCAAGGAGTACATAGCTGTTTTTAAATTACATAACGCAGTTGAAAACGTTCTTGAGGTTAATATTTATCATTTTTATTATTAATATTATTATAATTATTATTTTTAAAAATATATATTTACCTGTTTTGTTAATTTAGATTAAAAAAAGTTTAGAGTCATTGCGTGGTGCTCTGTTTCAAAGACCTCCATTGATAGCAGCTGTAAAACGGCAACTACGTATTCGTACTATATTCGAAAACAAATTATTAGATTATGATCAAGATACCTCTACAGGTATCATTTGGTTAAAGTGTGAGGCTGGTACTTATGTTAGAACACTTTGTGTTCATTTGGGCTTAATGTTGGGCACAGGAGGTCAAATGATTGAACTCAGAAGGAACCGTTCTGGTAAGTTTTTTTAAATATTAAAAATAGTATGTATATTTTAATTTATGCTACAATATGTATTTTCAGGAATTACTAGTGAAGAAGAAGGACTCGCCACATTGCATGATGTATTAGATGCACAGTGGATGTTTGAAAATAATAAAGATGAATCCTATCTGAGGCGAGTGGTTAGACCTCTGGAAGGCATACTTACTAATTATAAACGGATTTTTGTCAAGGACAGTGCAGTAAGTTAATTCAGTATGAGAAGTAACAAACTATTGAAAATCTCGATCTAAAATACTAGTATCTATTTTCATGAGCTGAAAAAAAAAAATTAATTTTTAACTTTTGTGATTTAATAGCTAATTCATAATGTATGTTTAAATAAATTTTAGATTAACGCAATTTGTTATGGAGCAAAAATTATGCTTCCTGGATTACTAAGATATGATAATGGTATCGAGTTAAATATGGAAGTTGTCATTGTTTCAACTAAAGGAGAAGCTGTAGCTTTAGGTAATTTCCAAACATTATCACATTGTTTTATAATATAGATGTAAAGTGAGATGTTTGTAATGTAATTCTATAATTTTAGTAATTCATCAGTAATTTAAATTGTAAGTTATTTCCTCATTAAATATTGTATATATTTTAGATTCTGAGGGAAGAGAGGGATGTATCGTTTTAATAATATTTTTTTTATATATATATTTTATACACTCTTTCTATTAGAAATCATACTCGGATTAATCTAGTGTAGAATCTTTTCTAAAAGAGTATTTTTCTGAAGGCCATTTTTTTAAATTTTGTTAGAAGTTTTCATAATTATTGGGAAATACTGGAAAATTAACAAATTTAAAGATATCAATATTTTTATTTACCTAATTATTTTTTTCATTATTTTTTTGTTCAAAATTTGGACAGTTAACTTATAATTGTTTTTTCTAGAAGTGGTAAAATTTTCAAAACACCAATTTATAGGCATTTTAATTTTGTGAGTTTTTTACATAATTTTTATTTAGTAGATACTTTGCGAATAAAATTGTTATACTTAACTGAAATGCTTGATAATGTAACAAGAGGTTCAATTTAAATTTTACCGAGTGATCAACAGGAAAAATGTTAATCTAATGTGGTATATTTTCTTCATATTTTGTTGAAAATCATACATAATATGGTATTTTAAAACATTCCATGTATACAATATATTATATTTATTTTGCTAAAATATAACATATATTGTTAAAAAAGCAACACTATTAACCGAACTCCGCTTAGAATCGTTTTTTATTAGCAATGTTTGCACACAAATGTATATTAAATTCTTCTCTATATTCTAATTTTCAAACTTCTCATCTATAACAGTATGTGTGTGTTTTTTTTTATTTTAACTTTAAGGTAAATTATTAAATCTATGTTAATATTAAAATGATATATATTTTAATCTTTTATTTCTTTGGCTTAATATTTATATTATAATATTTGAATTACTTATTTGTTTTAGTCCTATAAGTGTTCTATTTTTAGTGCATACGATTTTGTACTGTAATGTTTTATTATGTTTTGGACTGTTGGATTTACCTTATATCAATTATTTATATTTATTAACTAAGGTTTTTTTGATTTTAATTTAGCTATTGCCCTGATGACTACAGCTACCATTTCTAGTTGTGATCATGGGATCATTGCTAAAATTAAAAGAGTATTAATGGATCGAGATACCTATCCTCGTAAATGGGGACTAGGTCCAATGGTTAGTAAAATATTGTTAATCTTAAACTGCAAATTTGTACGCATGATATATTAACAATAAATATATTAATTGTTTCTACAAATAAAACATTTCAAAAAAATTTTAATTTTAGGCTAGCACCAAAAAGAATATGATAAAAGAAGGTTTATTGGATAAATTTGGAAAACCTAATGAAAATACTCCGGAAAATTGGAGACAGACATTCTTCAAAGACGTGTAAGTTACACATATGACACAAAAATGGTTTAACCAGTATATTTATATAGATATTAAATAAATAAATACTTTTTTTTTCTGTTACAGAGTCAAAGAAATAAGTAATGAGAATGATGATAAAAAGGTATTAAAATTTTTAAAAATAAAATGAAAATAATAGTAATGAACCATTGATTCATCGTAATCGTATTCTAGATCAGTAGTTTTCAACCTTTTACAAATCGCGACCTAATTTATTTTTTTCATTTATGACTATCCCTTCAAAAATCTTTATTAGAACTTGAATAATACAATGTACAGTATACACATAATACTTATGGTTTTTGGTGATCACCTATCACTCCTGGGCCTCTTTGTTGAAAACCACTGTTCTAGACTTATAGTAAAGATTTTCTTTTTGTACTTTTCGATAGCCTATGAAATTTTCAATTTTAAATTCAAAGTGCAAATAGTACTATTTTAAATTGTGCTATATAACATCTGATACAATAGTTTAATGTTTTAGACAACCAATATCAATTATTGATAAGCTATTGATACTGATTTTTAAAAACTATTGAAAACTGTCAATAATCCATAATTGATGGGTTTCAATCAGTGGTATCTGGTTTTTTATTTTTTACAACCTGATATTTTGGTAAGCATCATCAACTACAATCATCCAACCAAAAACTAATTTAGGGTTTTATTGCTTAGGCTCTCAATAAATGTTAATACTTATGGATTATATTAATATAGACGTTATTTGTTTGATAAAAAACCAGTTTTAATTATTCGTAAAATCGCCCACTACCAAATTTAAAGTTACTTGTATCATTTAGAAAGATTGTATAATATTGTAAATAATAAATTGTTCTATCAATTAATTAATTATAGGAAAAGACATAGTACGCCACCAGAAGAAACATTGTTGAATGTAAAGAAAGATAAAAAATTTAAAAAGGAACATATTGTAGAAAAAAGTACACCTGAAATTACACAATCATCAACTGAAGTTGTGGAGGAAAAAGTGAGTGTAATTAAGCAAATGATTTAATTTTGTATTAGTAAAATATTGTATAAAAGAGAACTACAATTTATTTCTATTAATCTCATGGTGTTTTAACAGTTTGAAATTAAAACTTAAAAGAACAATGTAAAAATTATTGTTAAATTTGTGATAAATATCAAGCTGAGCCAGAACCCGCATTTTCCTACTACTAATATAATTAGACAATCAGTTCATAACTGATTTATTTCAATAATAAATATGTTTTTTAACTTTATTTTTGTGCGTATGTTCACTTGTTTTATTATCATACAAATCCTAACCCTGCTGATAATAATTATTCCTTGTACAGTATAATTAACTGGATTCCTCTATTATTTTATATATTTACGTTTGATATTTATCTGTTTATTATTGCCATTTATGGTTCCGAGTAAAGTATTTACACTTGAAAAAAGTGTATAATTTACATAATTTACAAACTTAAAACATGATATCAAACATTAATAAATGTATAAGAATCTATAATTATTCCTTGTACAGTATAATTAACTGGATTCCTCTATAATTTTATATATTTACGTTTGATATTTATCTGTTTATTATTGCCATTTATGGTTCCGAGTAAAGTATTTACACTTGAAAAAACAATATTTCAAATTTTAGAGATTTTTTCTGCACCGGTGTCCCTTCTCATCTAGCTACGCCACTGACTATTCGTCAATCACTAGTTGAAATTGTTTAAGCCTATTACAGATAATAAAATATTAATATTTATAATACCCAAGTAATGTCGGGTTTTTATATACAAAAATATATTTTTACCGAATATATTTATCTACCGTTTTATTGGAGTAAGAAATGGTTACGTTCCATAACCTATGTAATCTATCGAATTCGTGTTTTTTCGTACATATTTCTGAATATTTTAGCTTGTGGTACATATTGAAACGTATTTTTATATATTCATGCTATATTAGATTACATTAGAGAATATGTACCGATGCAGTGGCCAGTGATATATTGTTCTTACAAATTCATTATTATTATTTTTTTTTCATAATTAACCGTACATTTTTCTATGTTAATGTCGAGAATATTTTGGGTAGGTATATAAAAAAATATTCGGATTATTTCTTTAGTTTTTGCTGTGTAAAAACACAATATTTCATATATGTTTTACCAGAATATTATTCGGAAAAATAACACGGCTGTAGAAATAGTCGTCCTGTGGTAGTACCGAGGGGGATTTCGGCTTTAGACATACGCCACAGGCGAGGGGTGAAGTATATCAATAGGCATCAACCAGCCGTCTCCGCGGCGACCGCACCCTCGTTCGCATTGTGTGACCGGCTCGGATATACTCGTTGTTCGTCGTCCCCTCTTCGGGTCGGAAATCAGTAGTCATGCGACGCGTAAAATTCCAGTCTTTCCGCCTCGGTAGGTAGTCGTCGATGCTCAGTTTACCGCCAGAACGCCACCACGTTAGTACTTCCGCGCTGTCGGACGGTTCTGAATTAATAAATCAATAAATATAATTTTGGAATTGAAGATGGTGCGTGTGATGCTATTTCAGAAAATGTTAAGAAATATATTCTGAAATTTGTTAAAAGAAAATTAGAATCTAAACATTCTCGTTGAGATTATTATGAACTTTTAGAATTATAAATTATTTTTTTTGGTGATGATTCGGAAAATAAAATTAAAATTCATCCTCTTGGAGCCATGCATCAAGCGCGATGGTGCGCGATAGCACGAGCAATTTATTGCTAAAAAATGTTTCATATTCATAGTTATCAATCATTATATGTATTATTGATTATTGTATATTGTAAATTATTGATTGTTTGAAAATTTTACACTTCGAGAAAAAATTAAATATAAATTTACTGTCCAAATTTTGAACAAAAAAATAATGAAAAACTAATAAAATAAATAAAAATTCGTCATATTATTTAAATTTTCCTTCATGATGTTCAGGAATCCCTAATGATTTTTCATTTGTCATTTTTAGGACGGACAACACATTTTCTTCTTTTATTTGAAACAAACGATAATATTCAGTTAACTTCAGTTGACATAAAGCTATATAGTTATTTATAAGTTATTTGTTCCTATGCGTTTTTGCCTGTCTTAATTATTTTAGACTAAAATTATAAAATTCGGAAAATCACCCTCCATTGAACTTCAACCATTTTGAGGCACGCCTTAGAGTTGAACAATTACTACGAATCTTTACACACTTCATTTTTTTATGGTTTCAAACAAATTCCATGGGTAGCCCGATCAAATTTTAAAAAAAATAATAAGGACCACCCTAATATGTATTGATAATCCTTAATTTTAAGTTTTGAAATATTTTTGGTCTCACCCTCTATATATGTGTGTATATCTATAGAAATTAACTACAACAAATTTTAGGTGTATCAGATAACTTTAACCTGATCCGAATTGAACTTAAAGTTTGAATTTGATACACTTTTTATTATTTGCGAAAATCTTCAACATTTTCGTAAATATTTCGTTGAATGTGAGAAATATTGACACTTTTTATCTCAATATTTTAAAGTAAATTTAATTTCTTATAACATTTATATTAATTATTTTTACATATCTTATACCGTTCATTAAGTACATTGACTTGATTCTATAAAATCACAATTTTCGTATTTTTTCATTGGTAGGTATTTATAATAAATAATAATATTAATTAATAATGTTTATAATGTTAAATAAATCTATTTAAAGTTATGTTTATTTCTTATGAAATATTTTAGCATTTTATCATTCAAAAAAAAAAAAAATATTGAAATATAATACTAATGTACTATAGATAATATTGTGGTGTAAATTTTTTACAATTTGGATAAATTATCCTATGTTCTAGCACAAATTTTATTATGAATTGTTTTTATAGGTTATTCATCTCTCATAAAACATCTTCGACAATTTTTAATTTTTTGTACCAGATTAATTGCGTCCAATTTACGATGTATACTCTGGCTTTAGTATACGATTCGGTGTCGAACCGTGCCTACCGCGTTTTGATTTTGTTTTTATTAATCGTTTTGTGCACGTATAAAATATCTACATATTTCTGAAGTGAAAACTATGTCGGAATTAAAAAAGAAAAAAAGACAATACAGTGCGGAATACATAAAATACGGATTTATTCAAAGTCGGACAAATCCATCATCGCCAATGTGCCTCATATGTCAAAAAATATTTTCAAATGAAGCAATGAAGCCTTATCGATCATTTTAATAAAATGCATTTAGATATGAAAGACAAAGATGTGACTTACTTTTAAAATATGGAAAAAAGTACGTAGCTCAACCTACTTTACCAACACTTTTTTCTGCGGTTTCTAAACAAGACAATGATGGGCTTCGTGCGTCGTACAATATATCACTGTTAATTGCTAAAACAGGCAAACCACATACCATTGGGGAAGACTTAATTTTACCAGCAATAAAAGAAGTAATAACAACTGTGCTCCATAAACCAGCGGCAGATATTATCCGAAAAATTTTTTTGAGCAATAGTTCTGTACAAAGACGAATTGATGAGATGGCTGAAAATATTGAAGAATCACTGTGCAATCATTTGAAGACTTGTCAATTTTCAATTCAGTTGGATGAGTCCACTTTACCAACTAATAAGGCACTATTGTTATCATACGCGAGGATAATAAAAAATGAGAAAATATGTCAAGAACTATTATTTGTTAAAAATTTAGAGACAAATACAAAAGGAGAAACCATATTTAATACACTAGAAAAGTTTTATGATGAAAAGCAAATCCCTCTGAAGAATATTATGTCATTTGCTACTGATGGTGCCCCAGCTATGACAGGGCGTCACAAAGGCTTCATAGCGTATTTAAAAAATAAAGTACCAGACGTGCTTGCTGTACATTGCGTCATTCATCACCAGCATTA